TGGGGGACCCCCCCCCCCGCCTTTAATGGAGCAGCCTAAAGGGATGAATTTGGAACTCAGAGGTAGCCGGTCAGTGTCGCTGCCGCTTCGCCCCAGCCAGCCTGGCCCTCTGACTGCTCACCTTCCACACACTCACCAGCACAGCAGCGGCCCTGCACTTCTGCCTGCTTTCTCACAGGTATGGAAGAGGACAGGCGCAGTCCTGGGAGATGTCATTTTTGACTCTGGCTGTGTTAATTCCCCAGCAGGTTCTCTTGCTCAAGGACCAAAGAATAAAGTTAAGGTAAAAGTGGGAGAGAGAAAGGAGGAAACAGTTGCCCCATACAAATTCAGACATAGAAATATAATAGAAGAAAGCATATAAAACCACAACAGGTTCAGGATCACTCACCCAAAATGCTTAGGACCAAAATTATTTCAGATATTAGAGGTGTGTATGTGTTGTATTTTAGAATATTGCATAGTAAGCATCCTAATCTGAAAGGCTTGAAATCCAAAACTCCCACATGTAACAAACTTCAGATTTTGGATTTTCAGGTTGAGTTGCTGACCTTCTACATCCTTATTTTTGTAGTTGATCCCAGCCTGTGACGGGCCCTAATGGCTGCTTTTAGACTTCCTATTCCTTCCCTAACTCTTCTCTTCAGCTGGGCACTAATGCTATTCTTTCACTGGTGGAGTGACCTGAACCTTTATTCCTGAAGATTCTGAGCCCTCGCTCATCTTGCCTCTTTTGGTTGTTTCATGAATCTCTGCTATTAGGTGTGGAAGTACTGAGTCTTTCCTACCTTCATTCTGTATCAGAAAGCCAATTTCTCCTGTTATTCAGTCTTTCACTCCAGCCCGTGGGCTAGCCATCCCTTTTTTGTTTTTTGCTGGTTCATGTCATGAGGATGTAAAATGTCTGGGTGGCAGTCTTCATTTCCATAGGTAGTAGACCCATTTTCACTTCTTTAGCTGAAGCATTTTCTCACTCACAGACTATGTTCTATAAACCAACAGAGTTGTCAGAACAGGAAGCAAGAATTCTGTAAATAGCCTTGGGTATAACTGAGAGAAGCCACTCCCACTTCCACCTTTTGTTCCGGCACCTAGAACTCCAGTCCTGGGGGAGGCACACACTGTGTCCTATAAGACTAACACCTGTCCTTTTAGGGTGTTGTCTGCTAACTTGCTTTGTAGCTGAGTCTTCATTAAGTCATTCTACCTACTATGGTGAACTGTTTCCAGATGATGGCACATGTAGTAAGATCAGTTAATTCCATGAGCCTATTGCTACACTTTCTTTGCTATAAGAATTCCTGACCTGGCACAATGCTATGAAAAATGCCACGACAGTGGATAAGATATTCTGTAAGACTCTGGGTGTTAGCAGCATTATAAAAGTCCATGTTCAGAGTATACATCTAATCCTGTGAGGACAAATCTCTGCCTCCTCTATGAGTCACTGAGTGGCAGAGAAAGTGCTGCGGTGGTCTGGGGGACCTTAGAAGTCTACACTCCAAGGTGTTGGAAACCTGTCCAAGGAGAGGTAGCTCAATGGACACTGCTACAAAATGGTTTAGAAGTCCAGGAGAGTGCTGGGAGCTGCTGCTCAAGAGTGCTGCTGACCAGTCAGAAGGTGGACATGCTCCAGACCCTGCCCAGTGAGCCCTGAACAGAAGCCGGACTCCTCCTGTTCTCTCTCCAGCGCCGTCTACTGCCAGGCCTCAGTGCCAGCTGGCAAAGGAGAACTATTAGAGGTCCAGATACATTTTCAGAGCCTCCAAAAGGGGCCAATTTGGACCTGGGGGACAATAAATGAATAACTGGCCATTATTTAAGACTTTTTTTATAAGACTGTAATAGACGTGGCAGGTTTGATAGATAAAATACTGTTTTGAAGTTGCTGTAAAGAAATAGGTAGTGATGTTCAGTAAACATGGAATGTCTGCATGTTGAGTTCAATTAGAGATAACGTGAAATTAATTAGACTTACTAGTAAAAAGCCATAAAAATAAATTGACCTGCAAGAATTACAGAGTAATGGACCTGAGACAGACAGGGAGTAATGACAAGAAAAAGTGATCTTGAGAGAAGCAGGACAAGAGCATAGACTGGAAGCCAAGTTCTAAAAAGGAGAGTGGCTGGCGTCCCCTCCTGCCAGGGGCTCTGGCGCGTCATCAGCATCTGAAGGGCCTCTTGAGAAGGTCAGTGGCTTCGGGGCAGAGCTCCACAGTAGGCACTTGGCTTACTTCCTGAGGGGCTGGGAGCAAGATTGGTGGTTTATGGAGCAGATGTGGCACTGCTCTTAAAAGAACTTTACTGGAGAGCCCTGTGGGTCACTAAGAAGGGACAACTTGGCGACGCCTGTGCAGAGTTGAGTTGTCCGGCCCTGGTGACAGGCTTAGCCTGGAAAGGAGAGTTCCAAGCGACGGGCTTGAGAGAGTAGGGCACTGTGGGTGGGGCAGAGCACAGGAGGAGGTCTCATGCAGGGCTCTGAGTGCTAAAAGGCAGACCTCAAACCCATCTCCCAGAGGAACTGTACGTTAAGAAATGAATGGCATTTTGGAAATGTACTGATTCTAGGAAGTTTTTTCTGTTGTTAAATTTTATTTTATTTTCCACTCGCCTGGATTGAGGGTGTTTTGATCATGGCAGACAGCTCAGAGCGGCAGCTACAAAGCTGGTTAAGATAGGAGGAGTGAGGGAAAATGGGGAAGAGGCACAGGGAGAGGAGCTGGAAGCCTCTGTTAGCAGTGAGCGCGGGCACTTGAGGTGGCTGATGATGCAGGGCCGCACTACGTGTGGAGCCCGAGCTGGGTGTTTTGTTTAGGGGCTACTTGAATGGAGATTACCGCTGATACCATGACAGGAAAGTCTGGGGGAAGCAGATTTCTAGAGTCAAAACACTTGGGACGCTGAGAATTCCGGTGAGCCACAAATACAACTGAACATGCAAGAATCATGAGCAAGCATCGGGCCCAGTTGTGGAAAGGGAAAGGCCAGCCTGCCCCGTGTTTTGAAAGAGAGGAAGGAAAAGAGCTTGAGATAAGATGGTAACTTAGGGGCTGTCCGTATCCAACAAGGAAAACTTTGCAGGAAGTATTTCCACGAGAGAGGGTCACATTTATTGCGGAAGAGTCAGAATGAGAGGAGTCACGGACAGAGAAGGCCTTAAGGGAAGGGAAAGACTATTTTGTCTGGCCTCCAGCTTTGTCGTCTGCTAGAGGAGTGATAAGAGCAAGAGTTGCAGTTGCAAGCATTCACATAAAGAGTCCGCCAAAAAAATGGATGCACACTTCAGCGGGTCACCATACTAATAACATCTGGAGGCTGTTGCCGCCACTTTGAGCACCACTTGTAACTGTAGAGCTCGGAGGCAACACATTGGTCTCATGATGTCTCAGTAGATTTAGTGTTAAACTACTTGCACAAGTTTTTCTTTTCCTGATGTATACATTTTTTGTGGACTGTATAGAAAGCACTTAGTATGGTGCGTGAGTGTGCACTAAGTGGTTTGTCAGAGTGCCTTTTTTATTATTATTTTTATTGTTAATGGAAACTATTATAAAATTAAGCAGACTGGAAATGACTAAACATTTCCTAAATTATGTTGCTTAAAAAGTTTAAGGTTTCCTTCTGTTAGTCAGTTTTCAAGTTAATTCATTTGTAAATAACAGTGCTGAAATCCAACTTCACCTGTGAGGAATACAAGATTTTTGAAATGAAAATGCATTTTTCACATATCCCTGTCAAGATAGAAGGCAGTTTAGAAAGTATTTTCCTTTCTGTTGTAAATTTATCTGAAACCACTGAGTTATCTTCCTGTTGATAATACAGTCTCCTGCATTTATTAGGAATGTTACAAGACAAACGAATGGAGATAGATAAACATAGCCTAAATATTGGTGATTACAATCGAACGGTCGGGAAAGGCCCAGGTTCTCGGCCTCAGATTTCCAAAGAGTCTTCCATGGAACGCAATCCTTATTTTGATAAGGTAAGTTTGTTTTTCTTTTATCTCTGTCTGATAAACCAATATACGTAATAGCCTAAATCTTTACATTAATATTTTAGAACATTACATGTGATTTAAAATGTTATAACCCAGTGCCATATCCTATTAATGGGTCTGTAATTCATTGCCCCATTTATGTCTCAATTTAGCGTAGGAGTTGCTTTGTATTTTCTTCTTAATCCCATAGAATATGTTTGGCTCTTTTTTTGTGTGCTCTAGAATTAACACTAATCTGATCTCTTCTGTTTTCTGCCTGTTTCCTGTTGATGCTGGAATGTCATGTGACTTCTCTTCTGTTCCTGCAATGATTTCCTCCCTTCCACTTGTTTGCTTGGCTGGTGTTGCACATCTTTCTGTCTGTCCAATCAGGATGGCATTGTAGCAGATGAATCCCAAAACATGCAGTTTATGTCCAGTCAAAGCATGAAGCTTCCCCCTTCAAATAGTGCACTACCTAACCAGGCCCTTGGCTCCATAGCAGGGCTGGGTATGCAAAACTTGAATTCTGTTAGACAGGTAAGTCCAGATGTGTATTTTAGGCTCTCTGTTGAATGATTTGTATTAGTAATAAGATCTCTCTTACATGTAGTTACTGGTTTGAATCAGTAGTACAAAGTGGTAAGCAGACCTCTGTCCCTGTTTTGTCGTTTTCGTAGAATGGCAATCCCAGTGTGTTTGGTGTTGGAAACACAGCAGCACAACCCCGGGGCATGCAGCAGCCTCCAGCACAACCTCTCAGTTCATCTCAGCCTAATCTCCGTGCTCAAGTGCCTCCTCCATTACTCTCCCCTCAGGTAAATGTATTCCCATCGTGGTCTTCGCTGCTCACCTGGAAAAGAACCCTGAATAATTTCATATGTGAGTGAGATGACTAGTCAAGCATCGTATGCTTACTGGCTTCTTTGGGGTGCAGCATGTTTCAGTTAACTGTTATTATAAAAGTATGCGGAAAGATGGAAAAAGGGAGTTAATTCTTCATGTACCAATATTTTTGTAACACAACATCTTGGGAGAACAACAAAGTAAAACTGGCTGGCTTAAGATTCATCTTTGTCGTCTTTAAAAAGTATGTGTGAATAATAGTCAAACACAAAGACCATAACCACCCAGTGAATATGCCACTAATTTAAATGCTGTGTTGATAAGATACATGGTACATTTAGCAGGTCTGAGTTGTTTTATCAACATTATTAACTTAACATTGTGATCCTAAGGTTCCAGTTTCATTGCTGAAGTATGCACCAAACAACGGTGGCCTGAATCCGCTCTTTGGCCCTCAACAGGTAGCCATGCTGAACCAGCTATCCCAACTAAACCAGCTTTCTCAGATCTCCCAGTTACAGGTAATGCGCTTGTTTTCTACTCAGTGCTGCCAGACGGCTAGGCTATGTGCAGGGACTGCTGCGGAAACAGAGCAGGCATAGTCTAAGCTGAGCACAGCTTACAGTCCTTCCGAGGAGAGGAGACAGTGCGCCCCGGGAGCAGTGTGCGAGGAGTGCGGGGAGCTTTGAGATGGGGCTGGGCGTGTCTAGGATGGTGACGGGGTAAGGTGATCTGGACCACGTTCCTGTTGGTGTTGAAAGTGGAGATTGAACTGAAGATCGAGTTGTGCAGAATGGCTGGCAGCCAGCGTCCAAGGATAAGGCGGGGCGTGTCAGCATGGGTTGTGTGGCACAGTGGCTCTGTGGGTCGAGCGGCCAGTCATTCCAAAGCGTGTGGATGTAGGAGAGTGTCGTGGTGACAGCCTTTCTGCCATCTCTCCCCAGCGATTGCTAGCACAGCAGCAAAGGGCGCAGAGTCAGAGAAGCGTGCCTTCCGGTAACCGGCAGCAGCAAGACCAGCAGGTAGCCTGCTCCCTTCCCTTTGCAGGGCTGGCCTTTGCCTCGCTGAACTCAATGTTTATGTATCGTTTCCTTGAATATAAGAGGTTTGAGATGCCTTTATTAAAATAGAACTTCCATTAAAATACAACGAAGTATGTTGTCAGCTCTGTTCACCTTCCTTTTGAGAAACCAGTGAATTAATAAGGATTATGCAGGTGTCCGTAAGGGTTTTTTCCTCTACAAATTTCCCATGTTGTTGTTTTAAGGGTCGACCTCTTAGCGTGCAGCAGCAAATGATGCAGCAGTCTCGTCAACTTGACCCAAACCTGTTGGTGAAGCAGCAGGCTCCGCCATCTCAGCAGCAGGCACTCCATCAGCCAGCCATGAAGTCTTTCCTCGACAACGTCATGCCCCACACTACACCAGAGCTGCAGAAAGGGCCATCACCAATAAACGCTTTCAGCAACTTTCCTATAGGTGGGCTTCCCCTTGGCCACACGTGCCTCCTCTCTCCTTCACTCACTTCCTCCCCCGGACCATGCCAGCCTCCTGGCTGTTCTCTCAGAGCACTGTCGCAGTCCTCAGAGGTACAGCCTGCCTTGTGCTTCAGGGAAGGTCTCTCCATTCGAGGAAACTTCACTGTTGCAAAAATTCTACCCTCATTTAGAGTGGACCAAAAGGAGCCATTTCTTTTTAACACCCACATAATCTTAATTGTAGACTATGAAGGGATGGGGAGTCTGAAAACATTGTTATCAGAGAGATGTACTAGAGAATTTGAGCAGTATCGCTTTGGGGAAACAACTGGGAATGGTTATCATTGTGTGGGCTAGTTTTCAAAACCTGATTATCTATGAATAATTACTGATATAAATAAGAAAATGGGAGTGAGAGAAAGGATGGCTTTTACCACGCATGCAGTTGCTTCCCCCTTCAGCTTTTTCCTTTGGCTCACACTTTTACTTGCACTGTGTAAATTTCAGGTTTGTATGTCTTGTCCTTCCTAGTTCTCTTTTTTTCTTATTCCCTTGATTGTATTTTTGACTCCCATTTTCTGTTCATTTTGCTTCGACATTCGCCTTGTACCTGAAACTCTTTTTTTCTTATTCCCTTGATTGTATTTTTGACTCCCATTTTCTGTTCATTTTGCTTCGGCATTCGCCTTGTACCTGAACAGCAGTCTCTTTGTAAGCCAGCTTCATTGGTTACTGCTCTAGAAACTCAGTTACTGGCTGTTCTGAGCAGTGGCAGAGCTCGGGGCCTCCTGCCCCTGCTGCCGTCTCATCTTGGCTGGAGTGATGTGTGGTTTGGTGCAATGGACTCTCAGCCAGGGTGTGGACTGTACTTGGAGCCCTCGGGGTTGTGAGCAGTCTACATTTTCCAGAAACACATCCCTTGTGGTTACGCTGTGCCTGGCTGCTGCTGGCGGCATTTGGTGGTCACCTGGTGGTCTCACAGACGGTGGTATAGGGGGAAAAGTACGAGGACTAGGGAAATGTGTTGGCCCTCACCAATGCCAGTGAAGAGACAAATTTTAAATACAAGATTCCCTATTCTGGCTGACTTTTTAAGCGAGGGATGCATCTTTCTGAATTGAGAAAGTCTGTTTAACCCACACAGACTTCAGGGCAGTTGTCTAGAATAGGTCACCACAGCCTGTTGGTCAGCTTGGAGCCATTGCCTGCTTTTGTAAATAAATTTTTTTTTGGTATAGGGGATCGAACTCAGGACCTTGCGCTTGCCCAGCAGGTGTGGCACCACCGAACTACATCCACAGCCCTTGTAAATAAAATGTTATTGGGATACACAGCCATGATATTTAACATCATCCATGGCTGTTTTGTGGCTATAGTAACTGATTTGCATGAAGGCAAAGGGGCCATAAAACCTACGATGCTGTATTAAGCTTTTTAGAAAAAATTGCCAATTCTTATTCTAATCAGTGGCCATAAGACCACAAATTTGATTGCTCTCTGCAAAATGGGGGTGGTTTTAGAGAATTCCTATTAAATGTTTTAAGTTTGACAGAGTAGTATCACAAAGACTTTTATCAGATCACATAATTCAAAACCATTTAATTTGAAACTTTAGAATAAGAACCACTTGAGAGGGTGTTAAAGACTTTGGCTTCTCCCGGAAGGTTATTTTATGCACAGCAGTGTGGAGGGGGTGCTCTTTGAGACAGGGTCCCACTGTGTAATTCAGGCTGGCCTTGACCGCAGGGTGATCCTCCTGCCTTGGGTTCCCAACCACTTGGATTACAGGTATGCATCACCATGCCCAGCTGAGTCTTCCATTTTTTTTTAACAAGCTTTTTTTTTTTTGTACTGAGTTTTAAACTCAGGACCTTGTGCATGTGAGGCAGGCACAGTGCCACTGAGAGAACAAGCATTTCACGGAGTTCTGATGTTAATGGTTCTTGATTCACACTATAACATACTAGTTTACTGATCCATTTCATGACCCCATAGTATCTGACATTGAAATTTCTGTCCTTGTTCCACGAGAATATCTGAATTGGCCATGCCTCTTTGGCAAGATTCAAGTAATTTGTGCCTTAGCATATGGGGGTCTCCTTATTGGGTGACAACTACCTGTGTCCTGGGAAATGGAACCCAGGTCTTCTCAGTGAACTACATTTTCAGCATTTTTTTTTTTTTCTTTTTTTGGTACGGGGGATTGTACTCGGGTCCTTGCGCTTGTGAAGCAGGCCACCGAACCACTGAGCTAAATCCCCGGCCCATCAGCCATTTTTTTAAAACCTTGAGATAGGGTCTGACTCAGTAACTAAATTGCCCGGGCTGGACTTGAGTTTGTAAGCCTCAGCCTCCTGGAGTGCTGAGATCACAGGCATGTGCCATCAGCTTCCCTGTGGAAGACCTTTCTTCACTGTTTAAACGACAGCACCCTTCTGCCAGTCGGCCCACTAAAAACTGTTCAGTTTGCAAGAAGCTGAAGGCGATCGATCATATGCTTTGTATGTGGTACTCCAGGAAATAGCTAAGTCAGGCAACATATTAAGGTTAAACTGACAAACGTCATAGTTTGGCCCCTTAAGACTTTGTTCTTCTTATTTTGTCAAAGAGTTTAAAAATAATCAAAATATTTGAAGAAATCTTAGACATGCAGGTATAATCTCTCTCCTTCTGTCATCTGAGAAGCCAGCAGTGTAAGAAGAATTACTGTGTGTCCGTGGGTGTTGCTCACTCATAGCCTCACCACTGCTTTCTCCCCTGCTGTCTCTGCACCACTTTGGCCTGCAGCTCAGGGTCTACTCTGCCCTTATTATTTGGTTGCCACATTTGCAAGGTGATTTTATTAAGGAACATTAAGCAGGATTGGAAAATAGGAGACTAGTTTTGTATATTCTTCTAGAAATTAGTCATGTTACACCGGAAGAACAATGTGCTATATTTTACAAGATCTTTTGGGTTTTGTTTTGTCCTGTGAAGGCTTGAACTCAAACTTGAATGTAAATATGGATATGAACAGTATTAAAGAGCCACAGTCAAGACTGAGGAAGTGGACTACAGTGGACAGCATTTCTGTGAACACATCTTTGGATCAAAACTCCAGCAAACATGGTATAAATTCTGCTCTTATACTTTCACTTTAAAAATTATAAACTTGCAGAGTATTAAATTTGGGCCTTTATTGTTTCATATGTGTATTTCAGAGCCAAATTATCTTAGAGCTTTCCTCATTTTGTAAGTGTGCCTTATGTACAACAAACCTTTTTTCTTTAAAGCTTAAAATAACACTTTTAGCTGTGGACGGTGGCTCACACCTGTAATCCCTACACTCTGGGAGCCCCACCGGGGCAACTTAGCAAGATCAAAATATGAAGGGCTGGAGATGGAGCCAAGAACACAGTCCCTGGGTTCAATCCATAGTACTGCAGAAAAAGAGGGAGAAGGTTATTAAGGCTCAGTGAGAATAAGAGACTTTATAGTGAAAAATAGCCGGGGATTTAGCTCAGTGGTTCCACCACCTGTCTTGCAAGCGCAATGACCCGGGTTCAATCCCCGGTACCAAAAAATAAATAAATAAAATGAAAATGAAAAACAAAATTCACTCCTGTTTCACAAAGAGTGATCGGATGATGCATTTTTAAAAAAAAGTATTCCCCTTTTGGCAGTCAGTTGAGCTTCTCTGGTGATTTTATTATTATAGTGTATTTCTTAACATTTATTGAATGTAGTTGGGTATGTTCATAGGTGTTAAAATACTTCTTTTGTAAAGACACATTTTTCTTATATATTGCTATGTATAAATCATACAGATTTACATTGTCTTCTCAGCTGTTAAATTTCTTATAGAAATATCATTTTGATCTTATTTAATATCCATTCATTCCATATGTTAATGGTGTATCTTCTGATCTCCAAGGACTGCCAGACACCTGGAATTCATAAATAGATATGCCGGTATACACACAATTTACTGTGTGAAAATATGTGTCTAAAAATACTTAAGGAGGAATCATTAGCAAAAGGAAACCTAGACACCCTTTGTACAATGCAAGTGTAAAAGTTGGTTTTATAAAAGTTAGTGTGTCTATGATATAGTTCCACAGGAGCATTGAGTAGGAATGATTACAGGTGTGATGGGCCTGAAAAACTTACATGAGCCTCATCTTGAAACAAATTCTTAAGTTTACCCAACAAACAATGGAGGGCAGGCAACCAGGATGGCACAGTGGAGATAGAGCAGGCAGCCTGATGTGGACTCCGTGGGCGTTTCTGGACGTGAAAGTGCCAATGGAGAAGAATAGTAGATATAGAGCAAGTTGTGGGAAACTGTTAACGCCATATATGATTTTAGGAAATTCAAAATGGTCATTTCAAGCTGTGTTCAAAGACAGATGTGGACAATAAATCACAAGAAAACAAATGATCGCTTCTAAGCAAGGTTGTGTTTGCATGGACTTTAACATTCATTTTAGTACCCTACCTTTAAGGGTGTATAGTCACAGAGTATAGGGTAGAAATATAAATATCCTGATAGCAAAGGATACTGTTTTGTTTTTTTTTTTTTTTTCCACTGCATAAATATTATCTCACTAGGGGCCAGGAATTTAGCTCAGTGGTTCCACTGCCTGCCTTGCAAACACAAGGTCCTGAGTTCAATCCCCAGTACCAAAAAAAAATTCTCTTACTGGCATAAGTTTCCTGTCTCTTTGTCACTCACAGTATTCTTGACTATAATCCTGTCACATTTTTTTTCCCCTCCATCTCTTCCTCATTCAGCTTGAAAACCACAAATCAATTAGGCCAAAATACAAATGTTTTGAGATTGGGAAATAATTGTATGCTCACCTTCTACTCACTTTCAACCAAGCTATGGTTTTCATGTCCTTGATACCAGATGCGCTGTGATCATTTTCAGGCATTCTTCAAATAAAATGTTAGAGTGTTCATGTGGAAGGAGTGAAAGTGAAGTCTGTCAGCACACTGCTCTCGCATCTTTACATAATCTATAGGACATAGTTTGCAGCCTGCATATCTACTAGAAAGTTCTCTTGGTTTATTTGCGAGCAATAGGAGATAAATGTGCTAATGTTTTGCTCATCTCTGTCTTTTCAGGTGCTATTTCAAGTGGTTTCAGGCTGGAAGAATCTCCATTTGTTCCCTATGACTTTGTGAACAGCAGTACTTCACCAGCCAGTCCTCCGGGCTCCATAGGAGATGGCTGGCCACGTGCCAAATCGCCTAATGGCTCTAGCAGTGTTAATTGGCCACCAGGTGAGATGCCTACACCCTCTGCTGGGGCTTTGTTTCCATAAAGAGTTTGGCTACATCTGGATTTAGTGAGATACAGCCCCCCTTCTGTGTGATTGGGCTGATAAAAAGGAATGCAGAAACCATGAAGGAAAAGTCGAGCATAATGGCAGTCGTGCAAGTGTGTCTGCTTGGTCTCGGGGTCTTTGTGCTGCAGGCAGTGCAGATGGGACGAGCAGCGTGAAGAAGGTCCTAATGAGTTGCTCCTCTTCTGCTGTGTCGGGAGGGTGAACACATTTTTAGAGGGATTCTCAGCAGTGCCTACTTTGTTCTGCTCGAGTTGCTGTGGCTTTGTGATTAAAGTGTGATACAAAACACTGTATGATGTTACTATTGAAGACTATGTAAACCCAGGGAAATGATTTCAGCTGTAAGAACTTGTGAAATACTCATGAATAGCTTACTTTGTGCTAATTTTATTATCAAGTCAATCTTTTAGGATGTTAAAGTAAATTGGGATATATTGGAGAACTGCACAGGATTTAGAAATAAGTTTTGGATATTTAACAGTAGATTTTAAAGTGATTAAGCTTTGAACTAATTTTAAGTTTCCACTTGCAGAATTTCGCCCTGGTGAACCATGGAAAGGTTATCCAAACATTGACCCCGAAACTGACCCTTACGTCACTCCTGGCAGTGTCATAAACAATCTCTCAATTAATACTGTGCGGGAAGTTGACCACCTCAGGGACAGGAACAGTGGTACGTAGCGGTTGGGTCCCTGGGCCACCAACTCAACAGTACATTTCAGGAGCAGCGCTGAGCATGGGTGTGAGGTGTCCCGCAGCAGAACTCCCTCAAGTACCACGTGGTGCCCGGCCCCTGGGGGTCAGGAGCAGGAAGCAGAATTCTGGGCCCCCCCTGTGATGACAGCCACTTTTAGGGTGATGAGGCTTTAGTGTTATTTGACATACTTTACTAAGTGAACACAGAGGACTGATGAACACTTGCTATTCAGTGAAGGTTGTGTGGTTATCACAGGTTTATTCTTTGTGTTCTGGAGAAGCAGGTGAGCCTTTAGCTCTCCGAGTAAAAACAAGGCCACTTCACCCCTGCAGCTCATGTACTTTCAAGTGGGTTATCAGATAAGACTGCGCTGTTACCTACTACATGATTATTTTTTACTGAAAGGCATTTATAATATTCTGTGCATCATTTTGCAATACACTGTTCCCCTCATCAGTACAGCACAAAGCACTTCAGGTGGCCCTCCCGACACCTCCACCGTCTCCGCAGGGAGCCAGACTCTTGACCGGGATTCCCTGTGTCTGTCGGGCACCAGAGTGGGGCACTGACGCGCTTCACTGTGCACCGCATGCCCCAGGTGGAAGTGAATTTTTGACATATTGAAAAATGACTTTGTTTTAAAAATTTTTTTAGCCATCTCTTTACATGGCTTTATAAAGAAAAACCAGAAGCCGGGCGTGGTGGCACATGCCTGTAATCCCAGCTCTCGGGAGGCTGAGGCAGGAGGATCACTGAGTTCCAGACCAGCCTGGGCTACATAATTAAGTTCCAGGTCAGTCTTAGCTACATAGTGAGACCCTGTCTCAAAACAAACAAACAAAAAAAACAAAAATAAAACAGAGAACTCTATAGGGAAGTACTTCTAGAAAAGTCTAGTGGCTGAGAAAAGCAGTGTTGAAAGTCAGGACAGGAGTTAGATTTGATACCCGAGGAAGTGCCCTGCTGATGGCTCTGGCTGCACAAATCAGCACTGAAGGGTGGGTACTGGCCGCAGTGAAGAGAAAGGACTGGCTCGGGAGAGCAGGCGGGGACCATGATCAGGGCATGGTCAAGTCCAGAGCTGAGTTCAGGGCAAAGGGATTTTACAAAGAGGAAGTAAGATGAGCACGGGGCGTGCGGGGGAGGCTGGAGGCCTGGCGTGCTGGCAGGGTAGCGACAGGGCCGGCAGTAGCCTGCTGCAGCAGTCAGAAGTCACGGCAGGTGCGGCATGCTCAGAGCTCACGGCTGTGAGAGACAGGTGGGGGCACCCTCCTGAGCCAGGTCAACCCCTGGCCCTGCTCTCGGTGTGCTCTCGGCTCTGGGCTCTCCACGCCCCTTCCCTCGTGGCTGACCAGACTCTCCCCACAGGGTCATCCTCATCCTTGAACACCACGCTGCCTTCAACTAGTGCCTGGTCATCCATTCGTGCCTCCAACTACAGCGTTCCCCTCAGCAGTACAGCACAAAGCACTTCAGGTGGGCCTCCCGCCACCTCCACCGTCTCCCCAGGGAGCCAGACTCTTGACCAGGATTCCCTGTGTCTGTCGGGCACCAGAGTGGGGCACTGACGCGCTTCACTGTGCACTCTGTGCCCAGAGGGGAAGTGAGACACCGCGTCTCCAGCAGTCCTTCAGCTGTCTGCAGAGGGAGCTTTTATTTTGCAATTCCCAGCCCTTTGGCGCCTGATACTTCTGTAAAGTACAGTAAACATGAACTTTGGATCACTGCAGAAATGACCAGGTTAGGCAGGGTCACGCTGCTGTGAGTGACACAGCACTCTTGTCACATCCAGGAGGCATGGGGAGGGGCCGGCCGTCCACCACGGCCGAGAATCTCATCTGTCCCAAAACGATCAGTAACAGATGGCCTGAGTGCTGTGAGGGAAAGGGACCATTTCCTTCAGGATTTTTGTTTTTCTTCTTTAGCAGTTTAATTTGATGTGGGATTTGATGATTTTCTTTTTGTTTGATATGCTTTTCATAGGACAGTGGATAATATTAAGTAACATTTCTGTTATTATTCTCTTTTTATTATTCAACTCCTTCCACTGTTTTCTCCTTCCTCTGAGCAGCCAGAAATAGTGATTCCAAATTGACGTGGTCTCCTGGTTCAGTTACAAACACCTCTCTGGCTCACGAGCTGTGGAAGGTTCCTCTGCCACCTAAAAACATCACTGCTCCGTCCCGCCCACCTCCGGGACTGACTGGTCAGAAGCCACCTTTGTCTACGTGGGATAATTCTCCCCTTCGTGTAGGTGGAGGATGGGGAAATTCTGACGCCAGATATACCCCAGGTAGGATGAAGTATATAAAATAGACATCTTATGGCCGAGTAATAACCAGTACCAACAGTTTAGCTTAGCAGAGACCTAAACAGTGAACTGCTTTGTTAGCCTCTGTGAGGCAGAACGGACACTTAATGTTTGATTCCTGGAGCTCCTTTTTCTGCAGCTGAAGCGTGCATCGTAGTCTGTATGGTAAATGAGGTGTAGGGAAAGACCATGCCACCGGGACCAGAGCTGTCATTTGGCAAGGTGGGGGCAGTGCATGTGGGCTTTAAGAACAGGCACACGTGGAGTGACCCCAGGATGGCTGGGAGACAGAGACACTGCAGGGGGGCGCCGTGCTCCTGATCAACTGGGCCACCCCGGGAAGCCAAAAATATTGAGTAATAAAACCATTAGTAATTTCTAATGGGATGTTTTGGGCCAGGCATGGTAATACACACCTATAATCCAGCATTTGGGAGGCTGAGGCAGGAGAATGGCTGTGAGTTCAAGGCCAGCCTGAACTACATAGTGAGACCTTGTCCCAAAAAAACAAACCAAAAAATGTTTAAGTATTTAAAAAGCAAACAAAGCCCCAACCCCCAAAAAATACCTTCTCATCTAATTTGAAAGCTTAGATCTTTAGACAAATGACTAGCTGCGATGAAATGTGCAGTGTGAGCAGCACCGGAGGCTGTTCAACCTACTAAGCGCAAATTAACGTGTGAAGAGGGTTGCTTATAGAGTCCACTGTCAGGAGAGCTGGGGGACAGCAGTGAGATCCAGAAACGTAAGACTGAACTAGTGAAGCCGGGGGAACAGCCAGGGCAGGACCAGAGCTGAGAGCTTGGAGGTTTGCTGTGAGAATGGGTGGAGACAAGGAGTGAGACAGCACAGAGGGGCAGCCCGCTTGGCTACGCCGAAGGGTTTGTGGGCACCTGTGCCTTTGAGAGGGTGGAGAGGGGCTGGGCGTGCTGGGCGTGCCTGTGATCCCAGCACCCGGGCGCCAGGGCAGGAGAACCGCTGCAAGTGCGAGGCCAGCCTGGGCTGCACATGGAGGCCCCGTCTCCTCAGAAGGTGCAGAGGGATCCAGCTGGATCCTGGATCACGTTTCCAAAGCTCCATGGCTTGCGAGAGACGAGCCAGCCAGGAAGCCCTGCTGGGGACTCCTGCGGCCACCCAGATAGCAGTACAGGAGGTGTGGGTGCTTGCTGGCGGGGGTCTCCTTAAAGCTTGACACCCCGAAGGCTGTACAGGCGTCATCAAAGGGTACCCCAGCCGCCTTCCCGGTGGTGCCTTCCTGAGAGGGTTTGCGCTGTGTGCAGGAAAAGATACCAGGAGCCATGGTCCCTGGACCCAGGCTGGGGCCGGAGTGAGCTGGCACTCTGGGCCTGGGAAGCATCGCTGTTGAGGGAGGCCGCATGGTCTGGGCAGTGCCGTCATGAAGAACTGAGTTATCCTTTCCTCTGTGTAGGTTCCAGCTGGGGTGAGAGCAGCTCAGGGAGAATAACAAATTGGCTTGTTCTGAAAAACCTTACACCTCAGGTAAGGGTGCCGGCTGCTGGTGTGGACGGGTCGGGGTGGGAACGGGGCTGTGCAGAGGCCTGGCTTCGATGCCTCCGGCCTGTCCCAGTGGATGTCACTCGCGTCCTAGGAGCCAGCTGAAGGCGCAGGTCCTTGTCGCACCCCAGGGAAGGACTCCCCGGGTCTGCACTTTGATGAGGGCGTTGGCGTGAGCCCATGCAGATGGTCCCTGGGCTGTGCTTTGAGAAAGCCTGGCCTGGCGTGGCCTTTTAGCTCAGATGATTCCCTAGCTTCTGGGCCGTCCGTCCTCCCCTCCCCGGGAAGCAGTGGCTCACTGAGGAACTGGGCATCTGGGGAGTGTCCAGGAGCCCAGAGGCCACAGAGGTAGGATTCTGGGACAGAGGAGGTAGGGACAGGCCCTGCACCCTGGTGCGAGAGAGACCAGGAGCTGCCGGATGCGTCCCTGCCAGCGGTGATACCACTCACTCTGCTCTGGCCCCGCAGATCGATGGCTCCACTCTGCGCACCCTGTGCATGCAGCATGGCCCGCTGATAACATTCCACCTGAACCTCCCACACGGGAACGCTCTGGTCCGGTACAGCTCCAAGGAGGAGGTAGTGAAGGCACAGAAGTCTCTGCACATGTGAGTTGTGGGCGTGCGGGGCGTGCGGGGGCGCCGACTTCCCGGATTCCGCCAGACGCCCGCCTCCGCTGTCTCCCTAGGTGTGTGCTGGGGAACACGACGATTCTCGCAGAGTTCGCCAGTGAAGAGGAGATCAGTCGTTTCTTTGCACAAAGTCAGTCCCTGACCCCTTCTCCCGGCTGGCAGTCCCTCGGGTCCAGCCAGAGCCGGCTGGGCTCCCTCGACTGCTCCCATTCATTCTCCAGCCGGACCGATCTCAATCACTGGAATGGTGCTGGGCTGTCGGGAGCTAACTGCGGAGACCTTCACGGCACTTCCCTCTGGGGGACCCCACACTATTCCACAAGCCTGTGGGGGCCTCCCAGCAGCAGTGACCCCCGGGGAATTAGCAGCCCCTCCCCCATTAACGCTTTTCTCTCTGTCGACCACCTGGGTGGGGGTGGGGAATCCATGTAACGCCGCCGCTACAGACCAGACGCAGACGAAACCGTGACCTCAAGACGCGAAGGAAAGGAGCACTAAGCTGGGCTCGCCGCCTGCAGCAGGGCCGCCTGTGGGAACAGCTCTTCTCTGCACATTCTCCACTTTCTTTTCCCCAAAACATATCAGTTTGAATACTTGAATCATGCAGGCCAATATTATAATGTGAAGGTATCTGTCTACACTCCCGAGCGCGCCATACATGCTGACCGCCCCGTGAGCCCGCCTGTGCACACATCATGGGTCGCCTTCGGATCATTCGTTCGTTCTTCTACCCCGTACCCCACCCCACCCTTTATTTGCAAAACCATTTTGGGCTGATAATGTCTGAGCTTTTACCTTTGCACTGAGTGATGTTCTCTCGTCTGACCGGCAGTATGGGGGCAGCTGTCCAGTGTAAATGTTTACTCAAGGGTGTTCTGAAGGTGTGCGCGCTCTACTATGCCTTGATGTTGCCTACCTTTATCGTGGTATCGCGGAGTTTAAAGATCAAGTGATGATGCTGACGTGGGATTATTATGAAAGTATTGCACCAGTTTTTTCATGTTGTAAAACTAAAGAATTTCGCTCTGCAGTTTGAAAAACTGTGGCCACAGCTGTGACTTGCAGCCCACCTGCCACCCAGGACGGGCCCTGCACTTTGATAGGCTTTCCATTTTGTTTTGAAGGTTCCCGTGTTGAACCTTCTTGTTTACAGATTTTTTTGTTTGTTTTTTGAGAAAAAATGTTTACTCTTCCATCATTTAAAAAAAATTTAAAAGACAAAAAAAAAATGGAGGATGATTTAAAAGATGCTTTCTATCTCTGGGAAAAAGGAGCAGCATTTGGCCATGTTCTTTTGTTTTTCTATTCCTGTCCTAAATCAAAGAGCATGGTTCTCAGGAAAACCAGTTGCCCAGTTTAAAAAAAAAAAAAAAAAAAAAAAAAAAAAAACAC